AACACAACATAACATAATCACACAATATAACAATACAAAATAACACAACACAATATAACAACAACACAACAATATAACATCACACAACCATAACATAACAACAACACAATATAACAACACAACACAGCATAACAACACAACAACATAACATAGCAAAAATATAACAACACAACACATCAACATACAACATAACAACAGCACAACATAACACAACATACAACATAATAATAACACAACAGCATACAACACAACAACATAACATAACAACATGACCCCACTGGTGTTGAGCACACACAGCGGACTGTCCTTAGCAGGTGTGAAGATCCTAATGTCAAGAAAGGCCAAGGCTGTTGGGGGGGTGTCTTGAAGCTACCCATTGTTTATGGCCAAATAGTTGATAAAAATGACACTGTTCCCAGGTGCAGTAGCAGAGCTTAGCTTCACCTCACAACCAAGACACCCAGCCCCCTGCCCTGCAGTCAACTCTGACCCCCCCCCCACCCCACATGGGGCTGTGGAGACGCAGAGTCTTTCCAGGGGCAGGCAGCCTCCTCTCTCTCCTGGGGAGGGCCAGCGGGTTTGAACTGCCAACCTTGTGTTTAGCAGTCTGAAGCCTGACCCAGTGTGCACCAGGGCTCCATCAGGGCCACGCGCAGAGACATTCATGAACCTGCGTAAAGCTAAAACTGACCTCACTGCGTCAAATGGATGCCGACTCACAGGGACCCTGTGGGAGAGGCTAGAATTGCCCCTGGGGTTTCTGAGACGTTAACGGTTTACTGCAGGAGAAAGCCCTGCCTTTCCCCCGTGGAGTGGTTGGCAGTTTTGAACTTATGACCCTGCAGTTAGCAGCCCAACACAGCCAGACGTGCAACTACTGCCCCATCCAAGTCTCCTTAGCTCTCCCCTGTGGTCCCGGCAAAGTTAAGACAGGTCATCAGAGGGGATGGTGGTGGACTCATAAGTGTAACCAGGTGGTGACCTGTGACCCAGGTGTTCCCTGGGCCTGGGATCTTCATCCCAAAGGGCAGCAGCACCTGTAGCACTGGCCGTGTGGCTGCCAGCCGGGGTGCATTCTTGTCCGTCCCCATCAGTAGCAGATCAGAAAGCTTTTTCCCGTTGGAACACACCACACCACAGATGTAAGCGACGGCCCCAGGTGGATGCTAGTCCTATGGCTCTGCGCCCCCCGGCGCCTGGACGGGCTGGCCTTCTGTAGACCGAGTGTCCCCTGTCGATGACGTCATGCTAGCCAGGCAGAGGAAGGGCTTTGTGCTGTAGAGTTCTTCTGATACTTTCCAGGGGACACTCGTTCCAGGGGGTGTGAGGTGAGCCTTACGACGTTTCAAGAGCCTGGGACACAGATGAAGTTGCTAGTCATTTGGTCTTGGGCCCGTTGGGACGTCACTTCCAAGGCGTTGTGAGTTGCGTTGTGTCCTTCCCAAATATGTGTTGGAGTGCCGACGACGACGACTGTATAGTTTTGTTCGTTATGTGGATGGACCCTGTTGGGACACGGTCTACCCTGCCCCAGTCATCTCTAGGGTCTAAGATGCAGGGACAAGCTGGGACACGTGGGAGGAAGGCAGAGGGCATGTGAAGGTCTCCCAGGAGCCAAGGGATACAGCATCAGCACCAGGACATCCCCCAGAGCTGACTGAGACAGCGTCACCCTGAAGCCAACTGTCTAGTCTGAACAGTGGGGGAGTACAACTGTGCCCTCAAAGGCTGCCGTTTGCAGTATTTCTGCAACCGTGCTGGAGAGTAACTTAGGCACAAGCAGACATTTCTGTACCTTGCCCCACCTGCCACTCCAAGCAAGGACAGTGCCTGGTAGCCTCTGGAAGTGGGGGGCTGTGTTACCTCATGGAAGAGCTCCCACTTCTTGGGTGATGCATGCTTCAGGGTCCTGTCAGCCTGGAGAGGCCTGGTTGCAGCGGGCTGGCAGTTAAGGCAGTCACCACCCATGACGAGAGCTAACACAATGGGATCCTGGGGGTGGGGTGGGGGGCTTGAGGTAAGTGGACACTGTGGGAAAGCTTGCTTGTTGCTGTTCTGGGTCCTGCATCTGCCGCCTCATCTGACCTCCTGACCTTGGATTCGGTCCCCCCTGGAGCCAGGAGTCTGCAACCTGACCCTCCGGTCTGGGCTCCAACAGCCCCTGCAGCTGCGTGAGTCAGGAGAAGCATCCGACTGACGGGGGACCCACAGGTGTGGACCTTGCCCGTCTCTGCCACTGTGTGAGCCCTTTCCTTGCTAGGGTCCTCTCTGTATGCAGGCAGACACACGTTACTGGTAGCTTTGAGTGGGGCCAGCACATGAGTGGACTTTCTCACAGACTCATGCTACCACACGCCATGGTGCCAGCTGGTGGTATCCACGGCAGGAAGGGGCGTGCCAACAGGGGAACTGACCATGGGACTGTGAGCAGCACCCTGTTGTCTGCAGCAGAGTACTGGTCACTGTGTGACAGCAGCCTCCGAGTCCCTGGCCAGGGGACACCTGAACCGCCAATCATGACCTTTCGAGGTCACACGGATGGGGGTAGGGTGACATAGCCGAGGTCCACTGTACAACGGACATGGGTGCGATCTTGGCCGGGCCAAACAGGTGGGTGGTGACAAGCCGGTAGTCGCATGAACCACGACTGGAGCATCTTTCCTGGCTCCGTTCGTTCGCATGTCTCGCTCACTGCAGACAGACACACTTGAAACCACTACAGTGTGGCCTACAATGAAGAGGGAAAACGAAGAGGGAGAAGCAGAGAGGGCCCCAGTGATGACATCAGACCACGGTAAGGCCGCCAGCCTCGACCCCCAGTGGTCCAAAGCATGCAAGAAGAGACGGGAGCAATCCAGCAGAGATGGTGTGTGTGTGTGTGTGTGTGTGTGTGTGTGTGTGTG